AAAAAAAAAAAAAAAAAAGACTGGGAATGTAGGTCAGTGTGAAAGGCCTGAGTTCAATCCCCAGTACAGGGAGAGAGCAGAGGAGCTCTCTCTGACTGCGCTGCAAGGAAGCTCTGAGACATGTCAGCTCTGAGGAAGTTTCTGGGATGATTTGAAGTAGGCTTTGGGAAGGGAGGGGTGGAAACCGACCGCGCTGGAGAAAAACCACAGCTTGTTTTGCTTCTAGTCGGAGAATGTGCCCTTCTGCACACAGACAGCTGGGTGCCCGCACCTCAGCCGCGGCCTGCCGACCCGCTTGGCGGGTGAACAAGGACTGCAGATGTGTTTAAAGTGCTGATACGCTGCATCCGCAAGGGAGCTGGAACAGAGCTAATAAACAAGAAGGGCTGAAAACCCCAGAGCGCCGCAAGGCCGCCCGCAGATGCTGAGTAAGTGCTCCGCGCGAGGCCGCGGGGCGCCGCCGCGGGGGTGGCGGGAGCGAGGCCCAGCCTGTGGGTCTGGTGCCAACTGCAAACAGGGACTCTGTTTTGCAATCAAGAAAGGGTTGCAGAGCTCAGGTGCGGCCCGAAGCTCCTGGTTTTCCAAATAATTATCAGATCCAATTTCCCAGGCAGCCAGGAGGCCGAGCATGAGCGAGGGGGTGGAGGTAGAACTTGCTCCTGAAACCAAAGCCTTCGCCGCTCCCGGCCTCGACTTTCTCACATAGGCCAGAAGGACCGGACAAGCTGACCTCTGCAGGTCAAGATGTAAGAGACTCACGATCAGTAAGAGTCGCAGCTGGTACCGGACAGTGCTGGGTGAGGTGTCTACTCGTAAAGGGTGAGTACAGGATCTTGGTTGACCGAAATTTACCCTTATTCTCTGCTGGGTGTCTCCAAGGCCACCTCTCGGTTCAGTGACTTGCTCCTAGGACTCACAGGACTCAGCACATAATCCTTCTGACGCGATGCCTTGTGACAGCAAGAGGCTGCAATGTCAGCACAGGGAAAGGTCTGTGGGACAAAGTCCAGAGGAAACCAGACACAGTCTCCCCAGAGTCCTCCCTTGGCCTAGGCACGGGGAGCTTAACCACAGCTTAATTCCTCCAGCATGTAAAACGCTGTCCCCCAAGATGCTCATTAGAAGTCTCGGCACAGCCGGGCGTGGTGGCGCATACCTGTAATCCCAGCACTCGGGA